GTCATTTTTATAATTAAAAAATATCAGTTATTCGCTAGCACTCCATTAAATATTTTTAATAAACGATGTTCTAAAAATTATCACTAAAGTATTAATATAGTAAAACTATTAAACTAAAATTTAAGAGGTAAACATATTAAAAAATAAATAAAAATCGATTGACACATCATAAAGACTATAATCAATACTCAAATAAAAACAAAAGACAATTTTTTGTACAAAAAACAAAGTCAAATGAAGATCAATAGAAAGAACTTTCACTTGTAAAAATTCATAATAAAATGAAGGTCATTTGAAGAAAGCCTTATTATAATAAAAGAAAATAAATAATTGAAAGAAGAAAATTATAGAATGAGCACAAGTAAATAATATGTGTATAATTTTTAGAATGTATAAATATAAATATACATATCATATTTTTTTAAAAAAAATTGAGGGTGGGCATGCCCTATGTGTAGTTCTGCCCATGTATGTCATTATATATATATATATATACTAGTCATTGCCCGTGTCTGAAGGCACTATATTTAAAAAAAAAATTGCACTTAAAAAGAAATGTATAACACAAAAAATACTAATTAATATAGACCCATTATTCAAAAAATGCTCATGCGTAAAGGCACTGTGTAATAAAAAAATCCCTAATTAAGAAAAATGAAAATCCATAAAAAAACTATGCTTACTATGGAAATTGAATTTCATATTTCATTTAAGGAAACACAGTTATACTTACTATGAACATACAAAATTACCAAAAATATAAAAAAATACTTAATTTGAAAATTACGTGAATTTGAAAACTTCGAGCCCAAGAGGAGCTCTCATGACTGCACAATTCACCTCAAAGTCATAGCACGACAAAAAAGAATAAGCTTAGGTCCAATGATCCTAGCATGCCTTCCCCTCAGCAACCACAACTATTTTCCCACACAACCCTATGCTTTTTTTGTAATAAAAATCAAATAGTTAGTAAATCAATCGATCCAATTTACTACGACAATTAAAATCATATAGAACTATAGAAAATTGACTTAACAATTCATCTAAAATTAATCGAATACATCAGCCTTACTAACCTACATAATTGAATGTATTAACCCTTGTAAGAGTTATCATGAAAGTCATTTTGCATGTGTTTAAAAGCCACTGCTATGATCATCAAACAAACTCAAACATATCACCTACCCCAAATACTGGAAAAGGGTCCAAATCACAGTAAAAATGTATACTAAAAGTAAGGAATCAAAATTTTAAATCCCCTTATTTCACCAATTTTTTGGACTGAAAAATTGATTTGAAATAGCATACACAAAACCTAATTAATGCAACTACAACACTTAAACCAACTAAGAGACATGTGAAGTAATTTAGGGGTAGCTATCTTGCTTTCTTCCACACATTGTAAACAAAACAATGCTCAAAAATTTCAAAGCGTTTGAAAAATTTGTCATTAAATTAAAGCTTCACATATATAAGCAAATCGATTTCTATCAGCAGAAAAATGGAGGAAAAATTGAATCAAGCTTTCTTTACAATTAACAAAACTAAAATAAAACATAATATGAGACATGTGAAGTAATGTAGGGGTGGCTATCTTGCTTTCTTCCACACATTGTAAACAAAACAATGCTCACAAATTTCAAAGCATTTGAAAAATTTGTCATTAAATTAAAGCTTCACATATAAGCAAATCGATTTCTATCAGCAGAAAAATGGAGAAAAAATTGAATCAAGCTTTCTTTACAATTAACAAAACTAAAATAAAACATAATATGAGACACAAAAATGTAACTTACTTTTGTCCAATATTTTGGCCAACCAAATAGGCACCAATTCTGAACCAAGACATATTAGTATCATTCATTAGACAAACAAAACAATGCACGAAATTATGAACAACCACTTAAGTCTAAAACAATTGTCTAACAAATTAACTTAAAAACACACCAATCAAACAAATCATTGCTTAATTGAAAATATTATTTAACTGTAAACAACTTGCATATAATTATAAAGGCAAAATAATTCAGAGAAATTTTAGTAGGGTGAATAGAATTTTAAAAAGAGCAAAATAGATGTAATTTCATCTTGGCTAGATATGTGATCATTTTTTTCCTTAATACTTTCAGAATTGAAAATACATAACTGAATGCAATGACTACATGCACAAATGTGCAATCTACTCATAATTTATTATGTCCATGTAAAGAAAAAGCATTGAGATTGGATATCCTTTACCTTTTTTTAAATGTAGTAACTTCACTGTTTTTGAGGACATGGGAAAAGTCTGGTTGCGTGATTAAATGCCTATTAGCTACAACATATATAAGTTTTTAAGTAAGCATAGCATTATCAAAGATAACATATAAAATTATTTCAATGCAACCATTCATCAAGGCAAAAGAATAAGAGACTTTCAATATTAAACCATAAATTGCTTTTGAAGTCTGTAGGGTATAAAGAATGGTCCAAATAGCATCTATCATAAGTAGCTTTATAAGAGAAATTTACAACGCTGCTCCAAAAAGTAGACGCACATTGCAATACCAAAATCAAAAACACCAGAGGCTAATGAAAAATACAAAAATAGAGTTTAACATAACCATCAAGAGTTGTGTGGACAAAAGGAAGACATATCTTAGAAATACAGTAACAAATAAAAAAAATGATAACCTAAAGGCACAATGCACCCATAACAGGTGGAGAAGACGATGGCAGCCATGGCGTCTCATGGAATTAATTGTTGATCGAAGGGCTACTTGGTTTGTGCAAGAAAACATAAAATTCAAAACACTACTTGTGCTAAAAACAAAACATTTACTTCCAAAAATAAGCAATAGATGAAGAAAGGGGCACCATTTCTTTTTTGCAACTTTATTCGATCATCTAGTATGCATAAAAAACACAGTCAAAAAGCGGAGGAAGTGAATAAGTGCGAGTACGTGTGTGTGTTGTATCCATGAATGAGTGTGTGTGCTTGTTGTGTTCATCGTGTGGGTGTTTGTTGTGTTCAACGTGTGTGTGTTCACTGTGTTGTGTGTCTGTGTTAGTGTGGGAAGCAGAGAGGAGGAAGAGAGGAGAGGAAAAGGATTAAGAAATACCCGAGGTTGTGTGGCCGTGACTGTGTGGGGTCACAATTTCTTTTTTGCGACTTTATCCGATCATCTAGTATACATAAAAACACAGTCAAAAATAGATAAAGCGAATAAGTGGGAATATGTGTGTGTATGTGCTATATCCAACATAAGTGAGTGTGTGTGTTTGTTGTGTTCATCGTGTAGGTGTTTGTTGTATTTATCTTGTGTGTGTTTACTGTGTTAGTGTGGAAAGCAAAGAGGAGAGAGAAAGAGTTATTGGGTATCAGGTGAAAAATGGAAGAGAGGAGGGAGAAAGGAAATAGAGAGTTTTTGGGTTGCTTTTAAAAAACGGAAGAGAGGAGAGAAAGGAAAGAGTGAGTTTTTGGATTGCTTTTTAAAAATGGAAAAGAGGAGGGAGTTAAAGTATGAGATAAAAAGATAAATTAGATAGGAGATAGAAGATAAGAGTCTTTGTATCAGTTAATATGAGATAAGGGGAGAAAGCTAGATGAGAGATAGGAGTCTTGGAAAATTTTGGTATGAGAAAAATTTAGTACTCAATGTTTGACCAGTTGATCAAAATTTTTGAGATGATCTGAACCGTCTTTTATGTTGGGATTATATTGTCTGTTGGATGTGTTTATATTTTATCTCAAAACGATTTGGACCTCTCTTTGTCTATAGATTCAAATTCAAATTTACTTTATTATATAGATATATCTGATGTCGTCATTGAATATAATATACTAATCAAATCAATCACTGTCATTGTATTAACTTTGCTAAGTCTTATTACCTTTCCAATAATTATAATAAATTAAATTTAAATATTATTATTGATTTCACTATTACATCCACCAAAAATTTTATCAATTTTTTTTTCTCAAATCAATGAGATTCATAAGATCCGTAGATCTCACAAACTTTCACTAACTATTCATTGACTTTCAGTCTCTCATATCATTTGAGATCCATAATTTAATAACACAGCTGTGAAGATAACATTTCCTTATTTATACACAGTGTATAACGTGGCATACCTAAAATGAGTGAAAATATTCATTAAAACGGTAATATTATATAGTAAAATGATTTGGTATTATCAATTATTAATATTAAAATAAATAAATAAATAACACAAAATTAATAACTAACTAGGCATGCAAGTAAATAACTCTTCAATCTTCTTTCTCGTAAGCCCGAGTGACAAGGCATCTCTGTTTCGTAAGCCCGAGTGACAAGGCATCTCTGTTGCATTTCATATGTACTGTCGAGCATTCAATGCTTCTCAGAAACTCAACCAAGTGTTCCCCTCCAAATGCGCCGCCTCTAACCCCCAACGACTATTGCGCCACTGTTTGACACGTGGACCCTCTCTCTCTCCAACTGCTCTCCGAGACCCTTTGAGCTTCAAGCACCCAATCACTTGTGTCATCCCGTGGCACTTATCTATCTTATCTTAGCACACTCCATGCACACGCATATTGTCAAAGACTAAAACGCCATTTATCACTCTTACGTGTCAGCCAACTTACCCAAAGCTGCTTCCATCTCTCTGTTTTTTTTTTGTATGCAATGCAAAGGGGTATACTTGCCAGTAACACTTAACATCATTAATGAATAATTGTATATTAGTTTGTTGTAATTTTTATTTTCTCTTCTTTATGCATGATCTCTCTAACCTTCACCGCCCATCTCTCTCTATTTTCTCCAAGTATCACCTCACAAGAAGGAGACCACATAATTAATCTACAAACTAAGGGACGTTTATCCTTACACATAATCATAGCCACACGCACACACACACATCTCTCTCTCTCTCTCTATATATATATATATATGTATGTATGTATATATATTTAGTTTTTCATATAAATATACGTATAGTCTTTAGGATTGTTCATTCAAGAGCTCCTTATAACCATGAGTCCTACACAATTCCATGACCATCACCATCAAGCAAAGAGAGAAACCAATGGCTTATATCCTCCTCCTTTGAAGATCAACAAGGACTCCCATTTCATTAAGAAGTCGCCACCATCCTCCTCCTCTTCTTCCTCATCCTCGCTCGTCAGTGGCATGGCATCCATCTCAGCCAGGCCTCCCCAGCGCCAGCCGGTTATTATTTACACTCATTCCCCGAAGGTCATCCATACAAATCCTCGTGATTTTATGCAATTGGTGCAAAAGCTGACCGGACTCTCTCGGTCTGATCATGATGATACAGTTCAACCAAAGTTAGAGCCAGGCAATGATTCTTCGGAAGAATATCATAAAAATATCAAAAATGTCATGAATGATGATAATGACTGTACTTCGGTTGTCACCGATGAAAATGGAAGCAGTGTAGGAGATGTTCATGTCAATTCATGTTTCATTCCATCTATTTTCGAACCTCCAAACCCTTGTTTCAACAATTTTCCCTTTTTTACACAAAATCCAACCGATTTCTCGTGTTCAACGAAACCATTTTACAACTACACCGATCCTTTGTTTTTGATGCCTAATATGAGAAGCTCTATCTCATCATCCACATTGGAAAGCATGAAAGAGTTCCCAGAATATTGAAGTTCCAATGATTTGGACGTTTCTTTGAGAAAAATTTGGTTCATTTTTGATACAATAAATTTTAAAAATTATTTTAAAGGATTGTTTAGTTTTGTTACTGATAAAATGTAGAAAAATAGTAATAATTTTCTTTCTCTTTTTGACGAAATTTCTTATTTCAAAAATTCAATTCACCAGTGATTCTTAAAAACTGGAATAACAAACTTTCATTTCATTCATTTATTTATAAGAAATAAACCAAGTATCTATTTTTTCTATCGATTTGCTTCTTTAAGATTGCATGTTGCTTATCTTTTTTTATTTCCTTGAATAAGGTTACATGGATGATAGATGTGGAAAGGAAAATAAGTTGAGAGTTTATGGAAGAATTTTCGTGTTTAATTTTCAAATTGTCGTACCTCATCTGTCCCTTTGATTGAGAACTGGAATCATGATCGAGAACTAGAATTGCTAGTGCAATGACAAGTGTTTATTCATCCAACCAATCCATCTCGGATTCGTGGTTAGGAATGAACTCTTTCATAGAATAAATAAAATGAAGATGGAACTTTTCGTTTTCTTATTATTACTAAGAACTTAATTTTCCAGAGTAGTTTACAAAGTTTTAAACAAGATTTCTTTCTTTCTTTCTTTCTTTTCCATAGTTTTTTAAGCGTAGCTTCTGTATGCCAATTTGTTGTTCAGAAGTATATAAAAGAAATGGAACAAAGAAAAAAGATTGCAGTTGCATCATTGAGAAAAGGTCGAGGAAATTTATATGGAGGTGATTTGGATTCGAATATTCATTTGAAGAAATAAGGGGATAAAGAGAAAAGGGGCATGAATACATGATATCATGGTGTGCACACCAAGTAATAGAGAAAGAATTTGACGCAAACACAAAAATGTCCTCAAAGTTAAAAAATTCTTATCTTTATTGTTTTGAAGTTAGATATATACACGCTTAGCGGTTGATTTAATGATCACCGTCTCTATTATTGAAACTTAAAACCTCATTCTTCTCTTCCTTTATTGAAACTTAAAACCTCATTCTTCTCTTCCTTTAATAGTGTTTGGCAAAAAAAAAAAAAGTCACAAAAACAGTTTCTGTGCATGTCACGGGGGAAGACTTCTAACCTTTCCCAACCACCTATGGCTTGAGTCTTGTGTGGTGGGTGTCTTTTTAGACGATAGAATATAAAGAGGACAAAATAAAGTTTGAAACCTCTAAGGGATCTTTTTTTATCAAGGATCTGAAACGTCTAAAACATTTTCGTTTTTAAGGAGATCAAATCAAATCAATAATGAAACCGAAATTTTAATATTTCAAGATGTTTCATAATGTTTCGAGATTTTTTGTAATGTTCACTGTATTTGCATAATTGTTTTGAAATGTTTCAAGATTTTTCACGATATTTTGGTATATTTAGACCAATGGTTTGTAAAAATAATTCTTAAAATTTTTATTTTTGTTATTCTATTTCTGAAACGGGTCAAAATATTTTCAAAACACATCGAAACCTTTTCGTTTTTTAAGTGACCAAATCAATGTATCGAAAAAAAATTTTAATCTTTACTTCTTATACAAATGATGTATGTTTAGCATCATCTTCTTGTACGTTTAACATGAAAATTTGGTAGCAAGTAAATCGCAACCTAATTTTGAGGATCTTTTGCAACTAATTGTCAGATAAAGTGTAATTTTTCTTGTTAAATTGACATAAAAAAAAGTGTCATGTGTTATAATAATCACTACAGTAAAAAATGGCCTTTACTGACGTTTATGCTAAACCCTAGAAAATACATTTTAAAACGAAGCTAAACAGGCATCGTTTATGGTATTGCTATTCACTCTCATTTCTATTTTTGGTTAACATTCCCCAAATTAGAAACCCTCATTTCATCCTTCAACCTCTCTCCTCTTCCCAGTATTCCTCCCTTCTCTCCGGTCAGTCACTTTTCTTCCTCACCTCCTCCACTTTCATCATTCTCTTCACCGAGTCCCACCGGTAATCTGCCTCTCCTTCCAACAGATAAGTGGCTAGGCCAACTCGCAAACCTTCCGCGACTCCCATACTTTTGCACATCATCTTAACCCTACCACTTCACTTGTCCGCATCCATCAGATTAGAGCTTCCCTGGAAAGTGGGTGAGGCGTTGCTTCAAAAATTCTCTGAGAATCACCATCCTTCAATTCTTGTTGCCATCCATCTGTTCCACTGCCGATGGTTGTGCAACCCCATTTTGATTGTTGTTGCCATTATAATGTTATACCATAGTGATTAACTCTCTTGGGCATTGATAAATACCATTCATGGCATGTAGAGGTGGTGATGGTGGTGGTGGTGGTGGTGGTGGTGATTAACTCTCTCTCTCTCTCTCTCTCTCTCTCTCTCATACCTAATACATTTCACGCTTGAGACCCTTCCCGCTGACATAGTAATGGTTCACCATCGCTCAACATTTCCATTTGTTCGTACGCTAGAATTCTTTTCATCCTTTCTTGGCCGAGCACTTTTGATTGACACTCATTTGCGATTTATACATTCATAACATTTTTGTTGACTTAATTTATCACAACAATTACATTGCTCTAAGAATAGATCTAGAAATCACGATACATGCGGTGAGCGTTTAAAATATACTCAATAACGATAAGCAAGGCAGTCTATATTAAAATATACTCATTTGCGTTTAAAATATACATGCGGTCTACCCTTATATTTTTTAAAATATACAACATTCTTCAAATATGTATGACTGTCCTCACCCTATCATTTTTTATAGTTCTATACATAGCTAGGTGCCTATGACCACATTACGGGCACGCTTTCAATTAGATCTCGATAAGTTTTGGATACATTATGGGTCATTTTTGCAATATAAATTTATACTACAATGCCCTTTTCTTATTATAAAAAATGAGGATCATTGTGTATTAATATCAAGGATCATTTTGTAAGTATATATATTATAAGTATATTGAAAAACATATGTTATAGGGTAACCGTTGGTATAAGAAATTAGACTAGAAGAAATAATGGAAATAGAAAGATAGGAAAAGTATGTTATACGGTATCTTCAAGATAGTAAAGGTCTATTTGGATATTTTTTAAAAAAACAGTATTCAAAAACTTATTTTTTGAAAAGAGTTTTAAAAAGTGTATTTTGATTTTTTTTTATCACAGAACTTGTTTGCTTATATAATTTTGAAAATAACTTTAAAAGATAAAAAATAGTAAAATATATTTAGATAGTAATCCAAAAAATAATTAAAATATGGGATATAATTTAAATTGAATTTTTGGTAAAAATTCTCTGAAAAAGAGCACGAGGGTGAGGGTAGGTGTGGGATGTGTTACTAAGGTTTTCTTTCTCAGCCAATATTATATGATATGTGAATTAATAAGATTTATTCACAGAACTGTCAACATTGCATTACCTCATGCTAGAAATTAACCCACAAAATTTACAAAAATAAATAAACCCAAAGATAAATGACAAGTGTTGAATGCCAATGGATAGATCTCAACCAATAAAAAAATAACTTCAAAATTTGAACATGCATCAAAGATGTTATCCTTCTCTTCACTATGAAGGACAACAAAACAAAGCCAATAACATAGATCTCAAACTTCTAGTTTGTATAGGGTCAGATCTAAGGAGAAAGTCAACTTAAAGAAAATATTCAATACTAGTAATTTCCTGAGCCTAAAAGCACTATATTACTCGTAAAAAATTACAAATATTTGTTCATAAATAAAAACAATGTATAATACAATTTCAACAATACAACAATCAAATTGGTATTATTCAAACCAATATGCAGAACATATATAATCAAATCTTTATATAACGAAAGTCACGTTATAACTACTGCAACATATTAATTCAAACATATGAGAAAATATAATTATTATTGATCAAATATTCACAATTTTAACATTTTAATAAACTTTATCTCAAATTTTAAAAAAAATATAACTATTTATTTTTTTGCAGGTTTTTACCTAAAGTTCATAACAATATCTTTGCACTATTTTTCTAATGTGAATTCATATAACTTTTGTGAGAAAATCATTCAAAAAATTTTGTTCAGAAATTAAGATCAGTTTTTATTTGAGTTCAATTTAAATATTCATAAAATTCAATTGAATTTATTTTTAAGAAAAAATTTATATTTTATACTCGACAGTCAAATTTAGCTCAATTCGAGTCTTAATCATAATCATGTCAAGTTGAGAATTGAATTTAAGTTCGACTCAATTAACATTTCTATCTTAAATTTACAAACTAATTTTTATCTATTTCAATTCATAGTGACATCATACTTTTTTTAAATTTCATAATTCTTTATTATTTTTATAATTAATTTCAATTTGACTTTAACTTGAATACTTGTAAAATCCAAGCAAAGTTAAGTTTAAGTAAGAATATATACTTTATACTCGACAATCAAATTCAGCAATATTGAAATCCTAATCATAATAACTTTGAATCGATAATCGGGTAAAATGAAACGATTCATGTAATTTTTGGGTGAAAAAAAAATTTGAAGGAAGAGTTTCGATCGTTTGATCAATAATCTTAAAATAATTTGAGCCACGAAAATTAATGACAGACAATGCTAACTCCCTTATTATATAGATATATTAAAAATTTACATATATATTATTAACCTATTATACAATTAGAATATTATGGTATTTTTATTTCAATACAAAATATGACCTATATTATAGTCATTCGACTCGTTTTCACGCAAATAATATGTATTTTAGGTTCATTCATTTATTTAAAATTTCTAAAAATAATCTTTATTTATATAAAATTATAATTAACGACCTAATTAATGTGTTAGTGATTAATACTGATCGTCACAGCACGTGAGAACGAAAGAGAGTTGATTGAGAAATACATGTGAGTTGCATGAGCATCAAATAGTATGAGATAGATAGAGAGAGTTATAAGAGAGATAAGAGCCTTAGAATTTTGGAAGAAATAAAAGTCTTGTTCAAAAA